ATATTAGTACATCGCCGTCGCTRGCTTTTATTATTATATTACCTGCTTCGTTCAGACCAATATCAAATTAAAATAATAAAATTAATTTTAGTGAATTACTTATAGTTGTTTTCAACAATGATACAGGAATTCAATTTTTACAAAAAAAAATAATGTTATTAATATTTTTTTTTTTTTAAATTTATAATTATAATACATTTTATTTATGGCGGAGCGATAACAAACAAGAGTGGAGGGGAGATAAATTGTATACGGTGTACTGACGGGGCAATAACAAACAAGTACCTAAATAATAATATGGAGTCRTTTTTTTCAGTTCTATTATTATTTATAGAATGTGGATACAAATAATATATTTTATAACAATACATAATTAAGTACATTAATATTTCGTTTCATTTATCTATTTTATAAAATAACTATTGTATGATTATGTATCGCACTATTGAATAATATGAGGTAATTAAACTTTGATTTGGGTTGAAATAAATTATAAACAAAACAAAATATTAGAAATTATTATAATGTTATGAATGGTATGGCCATCGGTAACGCACGCATGATATTATTATTGTCAGATTGAAAATATTCAACAGCTAGTGCGTGGAATGATATGACGAATAATAATATATTCACAAATGATTTGATTGAGTTTTATATTAATTAGTGATTTATGCGTACACAWATATAGATAGGTACATACGTCTCTGATCGTAATTATTTTAAATCGTCTTAATATATTTTCTATAGACGAATTAATGCATTTTATAATATAGAATATTCAGAAGTGAAGAAAATATATCGATTTTACTTCTTTTTTAATGATTTGTATAAGACTATTTGAATAACTTAAAGTAAAATGTAGCTACAGTGAATAAAATATTCATATCATAAACTCGTGATATTCATTATATTCACTATAACTCTACGTTACTGGGGGATAAGCTAAAATGATTGCGTAGAGTAAATTATATAGACGTAATGCGATTTTCAAATATAAATATTATATAACAAAGAATTTACAATTTCGCATATTATTAATAATTGTTTAAAATTTAGTGAAACATATAAGATTAAATTTTCAAAGAATATACCACAGTACATTATGTGTTTTTGTAACACTGACTATCATTTGCTAACAGAATATTTTTGTTTTATTGAAAATAATTTTTCATTGCCGTTATATTTTACCCACWAATTAATAATAAAATTGTTTTCAAATACTGATTAAGATTATCAATAATAATTATAATTTATGCATTTTAATTATTATATCAACTATTTTAAAAATATGWTATTTATTTTTTTATCAAAATAAAATAAAAATTAACGCAAAACTTAAAAATAAAATATAGAATACAGTCTATATCCTAAATCCCGGTAATAACAGCTGTTGCAGTCCATTACACCATTACATATAACGATAACCTGCAGAGTATAAAAAATTATATTTTAGGTACACAATATCACAATTTAGTGATTTTTTAATAACGCTTACGATTTCCAACAGATGGAAGAATTAATAAAAATAAAAATAAATGTTTTTCCAAAATTGAAACGATGTGTACATAGCGGTAAAATTAATTTACTTTCAAACTGCCGATAGCTGCAATATAGAGTAGGCAACGGACGGTGTTTTACAACATTAGTATTATATTTACGAGTAGATTAGGAAAATGAAGTGTGTACGCACATCAAAAATTGTATGTTATAAATCATTTCAGTGAAGCCATATCGTCGCAAGACCGTGTATATAATTATACGCTCGTCGGGTGTGTGTATAGAAATGAAATATGTTCCAATAATAATTTGTTCAATATTTAACCATTATATATTATAGTGTTTATTATTATTATTATTATTATTATAGTCCATATAATATCAATGAGTGGACATAAAATAATATTTGCAGCCCCTTATAGTAGCTATAGTGTACGCCATTATATTCATGTATAAAATACATAATATATTCCACAATATATCGATAAATAATATTTAATAACGACGTATGTGGTGTAAGTGGTGCATAAATAAAATATAATCGAATGGGGTTTCGCGTCAGTGGAAGGCGTGTCGACATTATTGGCAATTTATTTACTGAGTGTTTAATTTCACGTATTTACACGTTTATATTATATATTGTAATGTTGACACGCGGTGGCAAATTTAACGACGCAAAATCACTTTATATTACACACACACACACACAATTATTGCGAGGAATCTTTACTCGTCCTCTATTAAAACCACCACCTACTCTCTCGTGCAGTGTTTATTCGATCAATGCGTTGCGTAATCGGACCTCAGCATCTCGAAGAGGCACCAGATAATTCCCCTACAAAAAGTCCCCAAAACCAAATAATAGGCTCGTGCTTAACCACTATAATTCTAAATTACATTGGATATGAATTGGATTTGATATGCATCGATGTGGGCATATGAAAAAAGTCTGAAAATATAATAAAAAGTTTCCCATAAGGTAATATGTTGGAAAATATTAAAAATACATATTTAATTTTTTTAAATATATATAACTGCTTGAAGTARAAGTAAAAAACACGAAAGTTTGTAATTTATTTTTAGTTAAAAATTCATAAGAAATTATCTTTTAAAACCTAAGATTTGAAAATTCAATACAAGATTGTTCATAAGTTTACTTTTATCAAATAAAAAATTTCTACCGAAAAGTCAAATTAAATTTTTATGAGCATTTGAATTTCAAATTTGTACAACATTGGATAATCACTTGATTTTTCTTGTACCAATATTCTTATTTTGTTTTTATTCAATTGAGTCAGGTACATAATATGAATCTGATTTGATTACTTTGGAGTTTATTTTATTACTAATTTTTTTTTTTTTTTTTAATAATATGGTATAAAATGTTATATACTGACAAACAGTCTCCGTTCAGAATMGTTTTTCATGTTGAATGATATCATATCACTGAATTAAAATTTAATACTATCCATTACAGTAACCCACTTGTAACCTAATGTACAGCAGAGCGACATYCAATTATTTTAATTATATGCTTGTAGTTCTTAACTGAATAAACATAAAATATCATGAATTATGAAAATATAGTTATTTAAACCAAATTATAGATAAACCAAATTTTAATCATTTAATATAATTGACTTTGCATGCAAATTAGTTTATATAATATTTAATCAACAAGGTAAAGAGTTCCTTATAAATATAAAATAATACCTACCACTATTTACAACATGGCTGGYGAGAGGGGAGAGGTAAACAAATCTTACAATTTTATACTAAATAATGGAAGGCGTTTGGATGGATTACATTTTATATTGTACAGTGMTTTAGCAGTTCAATTCTATAGTTTTTATTTGTTTAATTTTATATTTTTCTACACTCAAGCTCATATTATTATAAATCGCAATATATTTTTTGTGTACAGCTTTTCCATTGTTATTGCGTAACGCTAGTTTTGTATACACATAGTGCTAATTTACTCCTTATTTATGTTTCGAATTCTGTAACCTTTGTTTATCTTTACGTTCATGTTTTACTTGTCACAATTTGTATGAATTTTTAAACAATAATAAAATAACAAATTCAAGAAAATACCAACACGAATAATAAAGAATGAACGATAACTATCTCAAAAAGTTACTCAAGAGTATCTCAAAAAACCTTAAAATATTAATGTTTAACAGGAGCATTATTACGAAAAAAAGTCAAATAACATTATTGACAAATTTACATGTTCAGGTAAGTTCTAAATTGTTTTGGTGTCCCTGGAATTCTAATATATAGTGTAAATATTAAAATATTTGTATCATTTTAAAATATTTGCCATTATAGTACGTTACTTATGAAGTGTATTAAAATTTACCGAATTAGTACTCTTTTGGTAAATGCATTAGGTTTGATTTCATTAATATTATGCATTAAAAATATATGGGWCTTCAGAAATATAGGTGATTATTTATTAAAACAAAATTAAGATGAAGGAATATTGCTAATATTTTTAAAAGTTTATTACATAGGGTATTTAATATTAATATGTTTTTGTCCAAACGTTGAAAAGATTGAATTGTTATACTTAATTGATATATATATATATATATATATATAATACACACATTTTATTATTTCCTATTCCTACAGGGTTGAAACTGTATACACGTCACTGACAACAGTTGCATTCAACAAAGTATAATTGTATTTAACCACATTAATATAAGTTTTTAATATAGGTAGAATATTAGTATATATAATTTACTTTACTTATAAAATATATTTCTAAGGGAAATTTTAATTAACGAATATTTGTTTGATATCGGATTGAAAATAGAAAGTTTGTTTTTTTCCTCCATCCGAGCTCGATATCGTTATTTTATAGTAACTCGGTTAGATTTCAAAATTTATAGGTATTTGTTAATTCCACTACTTTGCACATCTAGATATGATTTCACGTTCGGTGAATTCCAAAATAAACATTAATTTTTTGTCAGGGATCGACTGCCAGCGACCTCTAGCTCGTAACAGCGCACATTTTGCCCGAGTCGATGGTTGGCAGATTTCGCGGCACTTAACGAAAGTCCAACCAAGTTATAAAATATACTATTATCGATTGACTATAAACTATAAGCTATAAACGCTTTGCAATCACGTTGTCCGGAGGATAGCGCAACAGGTATGATAAATACCTGTATACCTGTAGCGGTACCTACCACATATTACCACTATCTGTCAATATTATTCATATGTTTCAGGTGTAACTATTAAATTATTATAAAGATACGATTGTAAAGCGAAATAGCTAATATAAGCTATTGTGGACTTACATTTGGGTGACAGCGACCCAACATTTCTAAAGAAAAACGAACCAGTGGCGTGTCCAGAGTGGACAGTTTAAGATTATATCCCCTCTTGTTTCATAWAGAACCTTATTTGTGCCTTTGGTATTACCATCACAATTCATTTAAAAGCATTATGATTTATAACATCCTTCACCATCATAAAATTACTGGGTACGCCACTGGAACCTACCCTGTCTAGTGATGAGTTCGTGGACGATCACGGCAATCAAATCGATGTTTGCTTTCGCCCCAAACAATCTAACCATGAAGAACATGGAATACATTATACATACCACGATCTCTTAGTTGAAATAAGATTCAGATGTAATTAGTATACTATCTAGGTATGACGATAATAACTGTAGTCGTTAGTAAATTGTTGTGACTGACCTTTGGGCGACAGCGGTTCGACGTTTCCGAGGTAAAATGGACCCTGTCTGGTGACGATTTCGTGGACGATCACAGCGAACGAATAGACGTCTCCTTTCGGCGTACCTTCCGGAGGTGGATTTCTGATCCGCAACAGTTCCGGGGCAGTCCACAAAAATCCTAAACAATTAAACATACTATTATGTTATTATAAACGGTGATGAAATGTAAAGACCGACTAACTTTACATTTAATACAGAAAGATAATATTATGGGCAGTTAAACGTATAATAATTTATTGTTATCTTCAATATACTTTTAATTAAATTGAAACATAAATTGTTGTGATTACACTCTGTGCATAGTAAAATGTATTCGTTACATTGTATTATTATTTTTTATCGTTAATTTTAAATGTTAACTGTATTATACAGTCTGTATACAAGCTTGATGTTTGAAAGACAGGCATATTTTTAGATTCTGAACGAAGTGATGAATGTATTGATTTTACAATGATGTGTGTTTTTTTTTGTGTGTCTGTGTACAGCATAACTAGTCGAAATAATGCTTCGATTTCAAACTTCGGGGGTGGTTTCCGATGTAAAATTGAAGATCCTTGGTGCATTATAGAGGTCAAAAGTAAACATTTTCCAATAGTTTTCAAAAAAATCGAGAAAAAAAAATGATAGAAAAACGGGAATTTTTACGCAAAACCAATTTTCGACCAAATCGATATTTTTATATGGTTGTAATTCAAAAACTAATCACTGTAAATACTTGAAATTTTCGTCAAATGTTAATGTTAGTGATATCTATATACAGTTAACTAATATCCATTTAGTATAACCTATAAGCTATAGAATTTTTTTTTCAAATATCTCCACTATTCAGCACATCGAAAAATTCATCTTAAAGACTCACTAGAACCACTTTGAACATGATATTATTGTGAACAACTAAGCGATCTCCTACCTTTGTCATTTGAACTACTGTAAACCTTTCGTCTCAATAACTTTGCACAGTACAGAGACTTAACATTGTTCTGAACTGAGGCACCCCGGTGTTATGTTTCCCCTCCTATACATTAGTGTATATACCTACAACCGTAATAAATCTGTAGACACAGTATTGATAGAATAAAACATAATTAGTAATAGGTAACAAAAGATTTAAATTTGAAATGATTTTATTGAAAAAAAGAATTGATAACATGGTATTACATAATAAAGTTTAAAGAAGTTTAGCAATGCAAACATTTTATCTTTATATATTGTATGTATTAACAAAATGGCATACCTATTTGATAGTGATTTATAATATTTTAGTTTAAACTAGAAATCATTGAAATTCCATTATTACATCTCTAATAATAGTTTTTACCAAATATTTTATCACTATTTATGTTTGATACATTCGAAAAATATAATTGGTTACATTTATTTTGATTATAATAAATACAAACTTCGTTGCACTGAATAACTGCAGTATTAACTTATATTTTTTTAAACGTATATATGTGAAAAACAATTTAGACAAAATATAGAATTGCCATCTTTTAAATGGATACCTATCTTGACATTTAACAAGGATATATAATGAGAAATCACAAATCATGAGAATAATCTGTCAGCGGCATCTAGTAGTTACTTGTAGGTCTTACCTATGTATCAATGAAATATGAAACTTTATAAGTTGTTAGTGTCATCTAAGTTATTAATGAACTTAACTTTGTAGTTTGTGTATACTCATTTTGAATAAGTATATTTACGTCATTATATGAGATGCCTATACAAACTTGAATAGTATAATAAATTATAATATATATTAGGGAGTAAATTATTTTCTAGAATCAAAATATTTAAAAATTTCATTCTAACTTTTACTATTTCCACACACTTTTATCACAAATGTTGTTTTCTAATAAAATTATTAAAGGTATTAAACTTTAAACACATAATGTTAAATTAATTTTTAATTGATTAAGCGCGAAAACTGAGTATAATGCAATACACCATGAAAAAATTGTTTAACTAAAACAAACTAAATTCAACAGTTTTATATCATAGTATACATCACGTGACATTAATTTTGTAAATATAAATATATATTCATGAGTTTCATACAATCTTAAATTCCACTTTATGCGTCATTTTTAAGGAAATAAATAATTATTACTGTGTAGGACTCGGCGCTTACATTTTTTTTATGCTAGCAAAATATGAATAAATACCCTTATACTTCAACTCTTAAAGCTAATTTTTCGAGTAAAGTGAAGTTAATAACAAAATAAGACAGTATGGTCCAATAATTTTCAGAATGTTTTCGAAATAGGTTAGGGTCCGGACAGTTGTTATTGGTCGATTTTATGCCTGAAGGAACCATCATAAATGCAGCTGCATACTGTGAGACACTCAAGAAGTTTAAAAAAAAAATCAAGGACAAAAGGAGAGGAATGCTGACGCATGGTGTATCACTCCTTCATGACAACGCTAGACCTTWAACTGCCCGTCTCACTCAGGACTTGCTATTGTTTCTTTTGGGCAGGGTATTGTGACTCACCCACCCTACTCCCCGGATCTGGCACCATCGAATTATCATCTTTTCAATAAATTTAAGGAGTTTTTGGTTGGATAACGATTTGCAAATAACGAGCAGTTCCAGGATGCTGTCGAAAATTGGTATACAAAAACTGGTCCGTACGCTTCAAAAATATATTGACCTCAATGGCGATTATGTAGAGGAAGAATGTCATATTTTGACACTTTTCTTAAAAATTTAATTTAAATATATTCATTTTTCAATTTTTAACTCATGTTGTAACCATTATTTTTTACACATCTTTTCAATGTACACAAAATACATATCATAGGACGGTCGTATCTTGTTCTCTTTRCCTCTATACCCATATATTAATCAAACTGAATAAATCTTAGCAGAATATAATATCCTAGGACAACATTGTGTATAATTATTGCTGTGACGATAAAATGTGGTTTTTCACAAACGATTCAGCCATACGAGATTTGTTTGTAACTTGTCCAGCTTGTGGAAACCATAAAGTAAGTTCTATACATAACAATAAACGACTCGTAGAACATCAAGCGATTAACATTGTAAATATACTTGGGACATAATATTATAGTCTACAATGGACGAAATGAATTAATCTAAAGCGAAACGATTGAATGATGTATGTTATATTTGCCTGAATACATTTATATATTAATACAAAAGGTATAAATTAAAATTCTAACAATATTTTAGCCTTTCTAAACATAACCAAACTGTATAACTTTATATAATTTTATACTTTACTTTGATMTTTTTTCCTTTTCTACATTGCACATATCAAAAATAATTAAACTGTAATATTGTAAAATGTATTGTAAATTGTATTTTAATGTAGAAGTAATATTTAAATATGTAAGTTAATAACCTTAGTTGTTGAAGCTTTAAAGTAATAATAAAAAAAAAGGTTATAACATATTTGTGACCTCTAAAGGGATAGTTAAAATGTAATGTTAATTGTATAAAACACAAGATTTTGAAATATTGATTTTTATTTTCAATATCATATTTAAAATTCTTTACAATACAGAAGTACCTAATAGTAAAAAATGTTATTATATTATTGTTAAAAAGTAAATGTTACATTTAATTATAATTATAATAATGACTGTTTATATGTATACCTAGTTAATATTGGATATTATGTTTATTTAGTGCTATTTCCACAAACTCTACTCGATTTAACTATACACACATCTTGTGCATTGTTGATGATATTATGTTGATATGAGTATATTAATTTACATAAACAGATTTARCAGTTAATATTATAAATTATAGCTAAATAAAAATATTGCATTTGTAAAAATATCATTGTATAATAATTGTATATAAATTTAAATATTTAAAACTAAAAATTTCCTTAAACCATAATATTAAAAAAACATTTAGAATAAATGATAAATATTTTTTTTGAAATAGTTCGCAATKTATTAATTAAATATAACTATAATTTCACAAAATCAATAGATTTTGAGCCATCACGAACTCGAATAACTTCGTCAATAGGTTCTTACACTTTTGAATTTTCGTCAAAACTATGTTCAGGGTCAATTCGATAACAACGTTGTAATTGATGAGAAAAATAGCTCGCACCGCTTGACCTGGCCACTATTAAAAATGCATAGGTATATATTTTAAAAAATAAACTGATTAAGTGTCAGTGGTTAGTAAGACCCAGATGAATTTATCTATCTTCAAATGTTAGAAATTCTAAGTCTTAACATAAACGAGCTTATAAGTACTAGTGATTTCGATAATAATTATAAATAACTATATAGTTTATCACAAGAACTTATATTTAAATTATTTCACTTTTCATCGACATTAACAAAAAAAAAAATTTATTATGAAAACCATAATTATTTTATACCTATATGGCTATATCTATATAAATAAAAAGTGGATATTTTAATCATGCTTACCCTATTTTAAGTTTTATAATAATTTTGCACTCATTAAAATTCTGATTTTTAGAGTTGTTAATAATATTATTATAAATTTATTATAGTTAATATATTTTATATATTTATCAATGAATCAGTTTATTTTTTTAAATATATACCTATGCATTTTTAATAGTGATCAGGTCAAGCGATGCGAGCTATTTTGTTCATATACCGACAACAATTTATACTTATATTGACTAAATAATAATAAAAAAGTTTAACAAATCATAGCGAAGAATGTTGGYCGATTAAGTTTTATAACATATTATCTTGTTTTCCACTGAATTATATCAAAATGAAATGCCTTTGATTGTTTATTTTGATGAACATTATAAGTAATAATCGTTGCTACACAATTACCAAATGAGTTTCATCCTTATATATTATAGTATACTTCACATGGATATTCTTAATATCATTTTATTTATGGTTGCCTTGCATCACACATATATTTACGTGAAAGGAGAATTACATTAAGGAATATATAGAGTTAGTTTCAAAAATAATTATGTTGAACAAAAAGTATGCGTGCATATGAAAATTTATTTTAATCTTGTTTGGTCGAAGTCTTGTATGCGAGTGTAACAAAATGTAATAACAATTATTAAAATAAATTATATGTTACAGTTAAAATAA